CTCAATGATCTGCCAGGAGAGGAGGGGATGAAGAAAACGACCGTTAGTTTATCTGAACGGCCTTTCTATGTGCGCTGCGGGAGAATCGAGGAGCACTGACTGTAAAGAGGGCAGCGCTGAAGAAACAGAACTGGGATCGGGTGAAAGACTACACCCGGTCAAAATGCACTTTGGTAAGAAGACCCTTATGTTAGATAGCATCAAATCCCAGCCCAGTCCAAGATCAGCCCTTGCAAGGCCTGGATTGAAGGAACCGGTTGCACAGATGACATCATTGTTTCTTAAACCTGGCCCTGGAAGATGTACGGACCAGGATTCCACAGTCAGCCATGACTTACATCTTAAATTAGCTAAGGTTGAGAAACACATGGTGACGTTCTCAAAAGTTTTAGTAGCAAATTTTAGAAAAAAATTTAAAGTGTGCAGAGATGGACAAACTGACAAAAGAAATACAAGGAAAGGAGGAATCGGAATATTAATATCAACATGGAATATATGGTATAAATGTTTAGAGGACAGAAACAAGAAGTAGGGAAACATAAAATACTGATGTAGTAGAAGTGTTAAGATATAGTGATAAAATAAGATATAGTTAAGGTAAGTTAAGATATAGTAGCTAAACGATAGTAAGTATATAATGCACAATATGTGTAAAGTTATATTCTGATACAAACAGTCTAGTATAAATAAGTATGAAAATAGAATACATAATGAAGCAAAGAACAAGGGGACTACGAATGTAAGATATGAATGTATATGAGGGAAAACATCAATTGTAAAGACCTACCGATATGGAACTGCTGTATGCTGGAACTTTTTGTTCCTTTGTTGTTTTAATCTATGTTTTTTTGTTTTGTTTATGTGTTTATATGTTCGAAATAAAAAAAATTAAAAAAGTTTGAGTAGCAAAATGTTTAACTTGAGAGCAAGCAAAACTGTAATTTAAGAGGCAAGAAAGAATTTGAAACGAAGCCATTTCTACCACTAGCATGATAATTTCAAAGTGAACGTTTTCAGCAACTGCTTGTTATAGAAGCACTGATTACGAAGTATCCCAGAATACTGCATGTCCCTTGTTCCAAGCAGAAGCAAACAGAGAGAAAAGCAAGGCTGAGGCATCTTCAGCTTTGGCTACACTCCAAAAATTAACAAAAAGGACTAAGGCAAAAAAACTAACTCTGTTTATATTTTAAGTTAATTCAAATGAAATAGTTACCATAAATGCACTGTGGTCATTTTAGAAATATGCTATTCTACCACAGGGACAACCCTATAACAATTTATGAAATCTTTGTAAATCACCTCCCAAACTTAAAAGGATGGCATGCAAATTAGAGGCTTTGCATTAGCCTTGTTTATTATACATTTATCGTTTTACCATTTATAAGCCACCTTATCGGTGACACGAGTGGCATATAAATGTAATAACTACACACATACTGTACATACACACACTCTCAATTAGTAAATCTCACAAGAGTTGGGAAAGGCAAGCTCAAATCTGACACAGGCACCACTGCTTTGCAATAAAATATATGAGGAGTGGAGACCAATAGCGTTACACCTTGGAGCAAAGTTGCAAACATCCAAACAAACCCCTGCAAATACATCTAGAGAAGCCTATGATCACCTGGGCATTGCCGTAGGGAACGTTCTGGCAGTAGTTCCTAATGTCAGTTTTACACGCTTCGTGAAGATCTGGTTCCAGACGGATATCTTCAGTCTGCAAGACAAATTCGGATCCAAAAGAGGAATATGAAACGGGAGCAGCCACGGAAGCTCAGAGCAAACTGGCAGCTTCTTTATTTAGACCAAAGGTCTTCAAACTTGGCAACTTTAAGACTTGGGGACGTTGAAGTCCCCAAGTTTTAAAGTTGCCAGGTTTGGGGATCCCTGGTTTAGACCAAACCAAAGTCACAAAGCGCTCTGCGCTCTTCAAGATCCCACAGAACCCTTTAACTCGGTGGTTCTCAACCTGTGGGTCACGACCCCTTTGGGGGTTGAACGGCCTTTTCACAGGGGTCGCCTAAGACCATCGGAACTCTTTAGACTCTAAAGCGTGCTGTGTCGCTCTCTCTCTCGCACACATGCGCGCACGCAAACACCCACAAATGCACATGCAGGGAAGTAGGAGAAACGCAAACGTAAAAAAGGGTGGAGTCTATATATGGGGGGGGGGAGAAATTGGGTTCCAAGCCAATCGGAGCTGAGGGGGCGGGGTTTTGGCATAACAGAGCGTTGGTTGGGAGTCACAACATGAGGAACTGAATTAAAGGGTCACGGCATTAGGAAGGTTGAGAACCGCTGCTTTAACTGATTCCTGCCACTGCAGGAGGGGGGCGGGAAGGATGACATGCATTGAAAGCACTCGGGCTTAGCCTCAAGATGCAACACAAAAGCATTATTTAGAGCTGAGCTCTCCTCAGTTGTCTTCCAGGAGGAATCTGAGTTCGGCCCCAGCCTTTACTCCAAAACCTGCCAAGAAAAGATGCTGAGATTGGTGGGATCAGACTGGGCAACACAATGGCACCCTGGGCACCCAAGAACCCAAGAAGACTGCTTCCTTGTGGCAAGGCACCAGCGTGGAACACAAACTCGGCAAAAGATAACTAGAGGAAAACCCATAAGCAATGAGTGGCGGTCTGTGCTTTTAACCCACGTCCCACCACATTCCCCGAGAAGCCTGTGCCGGACCGACAAGCAGCCAGGCCCGTTTACCATTTCCAGCTCCTCCACCCGCAGCTGCTTGCGGCACTTCAGAGAAACCCGGTGCTCTTTGGCGTCCTGCAGGGTATCATTGCGCACCGTGGTGCTCAGGCAGATCACCACGTCCACCCTAAAGAAGAAAGAAGCATGATGTTTCCCCACAGACCAGAGGAAAGGCCAACTAGGCTGCCCCACTAAGCCACGGAGGAAAACAAACAGACGTACTTTTTCTTGATGTTGGGACACAACTTCAGCACATCTTCCTTGCAGGCCATTTTAAATTTGTAGGAGAACCTGAAATCCTTCATTTGGATCTGAACAAAAAAAAGAAAGAAAAGTGAGCACAGTTATCAGTCCTCAACTCCCCTGAATGTCTCCCTCCAGTCTAGCAACGTTCTGGTGGAGAGCGGTAGGACCACAACTCCTATGCGGATGATGAGAAGCGATGTGGTTGGCCAGACTCCAATTAACAGCCATGGAAATAACGGATGGCCATCTGGAAAGAGATGCATTTATGGAGAGAATAATCACTACAAGGAAGCCAGGAAGCCTTGAGGAAAGGGAGCACAAGGAGCCCACTTTCTATTCACTGGGCGATCCTGTCCATTTGGAAGAAGGGGGCCTGTCTGGTTCTTTGCCCTGGCAACACTCAAATTCTTTTTGGCTTAGCCTTTTTAGATCACGGAAAACCTGCCTGCCCTACATCGTCGAGCAGGAACAGGATGCTCCAGGTACCCATCCTGAAAAAAACTGGGGAGTTGGGACCCAGGGATGAGCTTAAAGTGGCAGTTCCCCTTCGGGGGGGGGGGGGGGAAGAAGTGGGGAAATAGAAAAGAAAGTATTAATATATAAGTATATGTTAAAAAAATGAGATATGGGGGGGTGAAATAGTTAGGATATGATAATGAAGAAAAGGGAATAGGAAAGGATAAACATAAAATTATAACAGGGTTTGCGGGAATACTATCACGAAAATACACCAGTTCAGAGTTGAAAAAGAGATAACCACAACAACAGAAAAGGAACGGAAGAGAGGAGAAGAGAGGAAAAGGGAGAGAAAGAAGAAAGAGGAAAGGAGAGGAAGGGGACAGAAAGAGAAGGAGAGAGGGTACGAGGAGGAAGAGGAAGAGAGAAGTAGGGGAGAGGTAAGGGAAGAAGGAAAGGGAAAGGAGAGGAGGAAGGAAGGAAGAGGAAAGGAGAGGAAGGAGGTAGGGGACAGAAAGAGAAGGAGAGAGGGTAGAAGGGGGAAGAGGAAGAGAGGGGTAGGGGAGAGGTAAGGGAAGTAGGAAAGGGAAAGGAGAGGAGGAAGGAAGGGAGGGTGAAAAGAAAAGAAAAAATAGGATGGTGATAATACAAAATAGGTGTATGGGGTGGTAAGAAAATCAACCCAGAATGTATATTTTAACTCTTTATATGGAAAAACAAATATGTAAAAGTCATAAAGATAAATAAGAACAATAACTATGTGAATGTATACCTATAACTATATATAAGAGAATAAAAATAAAAAAAACTTTTGGGGAAAAATGGCAGCTCTTCCCCTTCTCTAGTTTAGAACAGCTGGCTCTCCAGCAGAATGTACTCTGAGGTTTCTAGAAAAACGGAGAAGGCTGTCCTTTTTAAGACAGCAGCAATTGGGCAGGAATAGCTTCCAAGTGATGCCAGTAGTTAAAAGCATNAGAGAGAGAGACAGACAGACAGAGACAGACAGACAGACAGACTCAAATCAGCAATCATACTGGCTAGAAATCCTCCACTTACAACCATTTGTTTAGCAATTGTTTGAAGTTACACCACCACTGAAAAGGTGACTTGTGCCTGGTCCTTGTACATGAACAGCACAGCAACCTTAGTCAACCAATCAAAATTCAGGCACTCTCAACCAACATGCCTTTTCGACATCCCAAAGTCGTGTAAAATTATCATTTGCAATCTTTCCAGCCAGCTTCCAAACGGGCAGTCAATGGGGGAAGATGGATTCGCTTAACAACCACATGATTCACTTAAAAACCACCTTGGATTTGCTTAACAAATGTGGCAAAAAAGTGTTGTTAAAATCAGACACCACTCACTTCACTGAGTGGTGTCTTAAATTACTAAGTCTTGCTTAGTATTGGAAATCCCAGTCCTAATTGTAATCGTAACTCAAGGATGACCTGTATGAGGATGAGAGCCAACCTACCTACAAGAACACCAAACACTTCTTAGGATCTGTTTTACTTCCTCTTAATTTCCTCCTCATTTCCAAGCAGGCCAAGGACTCTTCTATCCCCATTTCGTGCCACCTCACTCACCTTCGCGGCAAAGCTCCACATTTCGATCCGGTCATTAAGGCGTTTTTTGCATTCTGGCTGTAGCCGTACCCGCTTGTCCTCCAGAGCCTCCATGAGGCAGGACATCTCTGCAGAATGAAGGAAAACACTATCACCAAAGGTGGGCTCCCTTGAAGAGGTCAGGGAAAGGCCCTGCCACACCGCAAACCACGAATAGAGCAGAATCTCCAGGAAGCTCCCCTTAGCGCACGGGTGTCAAACTCGCGACATCACATTGTTGTCACGGGATGTATGGTGACTTTTCCCCCTTTGCTAAACCAGGGATGGGCGTGGCCAGTGTGTGACGTGAGTTTGACACCCCTGCGTAGTGCATGATGTAGGTACCTTCTCAGCCAGCTTCTTTCTCTTTCTCCTTCACCACCCTCCCCAAAATAAATGTAAAAACCCATTTTACAGATGGATAAGTATCTGAAAACAAGACACTTGCAATTTGAAACTTTTCCACCCCAAAAAACGGGGAGAAGCAGGTTAAAAAAATGCCCTTGTCCTTCATCTCTAGCGTGGTATTCATAGTTATTCATCAATTCATAATCCAGGTTTGTAAGCAGCCACGATCTGGAGTGAATGAACTTTGAGGTCAGAACAGCCTTGCAGTCTCAGCACTCCACAGGCCCCTCAGTTAATGCAAAACTTACGCCGGCCTCTTCCTGGAGTGATGGCGGCACAGTGGTGCTTGATGTCCAGCGCGCAGGCTGTGTGAAGGACAGGATCCACAAAAATATCAGCCTTGCTTTCCTTCAGCATGTTCAGCACCTCCTGGAGAGTAGAAAGTCACAAGGAACATGATCGGATAGGGTCGCAAGTTGTTGTCGAGCTAATGAAAACCAAAGGGCTTGGGTTTTGGGAGGAGGAGGAGGAGGAGGAGGAGGAGGAGGGCGGCAATAGGCTGACTCTATAAACTACTTAGAGAGTTGTAAAACACTGTAAAACAGTATATAGGTCTAAGTGCTATTCCTTCCTTCCTTCCTTCTTTCCTGTCTTCCTGTTAGAATGCAGTATTGCAGGCTAACTCTGCTGACTGCCAGGAGTTCGATCCTGAATGGCTCAAGGTTGACTCAGCCTTCCGTCCTTCCGAGTTGGGTAAAATGAGGACCCAGATTGTTGGAGGCAAGAGGCTGACTCTGCAAACTGTTTGAGAGGGCTGCAAAGCCCTGTAAAGCAGTATATAAGTCTAAGCGCTATTGCTGTTCTCGCTTGAGGCAGCCTCTGAGGAATCATCTGAGGAGTTGTCCAAAGAAAACAACACAGCCGATCGGAACCAGGCCTCAGAAGTTGCGCGAACAGACGGGTGGAACAGCAGGTGAGTAAATGCATGCATGTGTCTGCCTCTTGTGCAAATGGAGCTGCATGTGTGCACGCTTGCCTGCCGCTCAGGTGGAACCAATCTCCTCTCTACCCCCCCTCCCTGCTGGCCCGCAAAACCAAAAAGGTTGTGGAGCTCAGATATAAAGACCACAATTCCGACTCCAGATGCCTCTCAAAGGGAGACTAATGCTGAGGGCTCGGAAATGTCTCCCTTCCCTTGGAAGACTAGAGCTGCTGCTTTTATCTGTGTGGCCATGTACTGCTCACCTTTTTGCACATCTCTGCTTTAATTTTGAGCAAGTTCACTTTCAGGCACTCTTCCACCTGCCCAGTCTGCTCCTGGGCTGCGGCCTCTTCTGCGCACAAAGTGAAAATCTGCAAGGACAGAAAACACGTTAGAATGTAGCGCCCAGAGGGCAACCTAGCAAAGTTCAAGTATTTACAAAAGGAGAACAGAAACATGGAATAGGCAAACAAGTTTTCTAGGTACCTCAGCAAACAAAGGGGAAGGGATGCTGTAACTTTGCCCACAACAAGTGGATTTGTGCTCAAAATAGTTTAGTATTCCGGAGCCAAGGAACAGAGCTCCGCTATATTTAAGGGTAGAAACTTTAGCTAAGGAATGCAGTCTAGGATCGAATTTAGAAGCTAGTCATTTAAGATGATACCAGCTTGATAATAATAGGTTTAAAAACATCGTGGAATGGGAAGTGCTCAGGGGCTGAAAAGGCTCTGGCCGTGTGCCATGGCCATTACAGAGGCAAATGTGATTTTAGAATTACATCAATACAAGCAAGAGTTTCCAAATATGGGAAGTAATCCTTTCCATATATTTTGCGTCAGTCCAACCTCAAGCACTGTGCCCAATTCTGGGCGCCACATTTTTAGGAAGGTTTAGAGAAGCTGGAACAGGTTCACAGAGCCGGGGAACGTGGATCTGCAAAGAGCTTAGGAGAGAAGACTGAGGGAGTCAGATCAGGCCGAAGGAGGGAGAGGTTAGTGGAATGAGAGTCCTTCTCAAAAACTGGAAAATGTGGCGCAAAGAACCTCTGCCTTGTTTCAGGAAAACAGGAGACAGGATGGGAGTCAGTCCTTCTTCCTAACCGTTTTGACATCACTGGACCTGCTCCAGGCAGTTCTAAATCAGAGGATCATAACTGAGCCTAGAATTACAGTTCTAAATCACAATGATCTTAATGTCTCTGATTTTATGACCGTTTTTTGCAGCAGTTATTAAGTAAATGCAAAAGGCCATAAATATGGGCTTTCGCCAAATGCCCAACATTTCATCACGTGGCTCTGAATGTGTATGTGACACAACTTCAAAACTGGGTTGTAAGTAGCTCGGGGGGAGTCTATTGTCATTTCAAACAGCCGCTAACTGTTAAGGACATAAGTCAAGGACTGCCTGTAATTTAGATTCTGGAACGGAGTAAAACTCGATTGTTGTAATGGCCTTTTTCAATTCAATGGCTCTAAGCATTTACAAGTTCTTATTTTCGCACAAGTATCAGAGAAACGCCCCCAGATATTCTTGCAGGAGGAAGTCCTCCTGCAGCCCTGGAGAGCAGATTAGCAGCAGCAACACACACACACACACACACCAAAAATACTGACTGGCAACTGCATTTTGTCTGCAGTACAAACAGCAGGAATTCCAGCTCTTAGCTTTACTGTTTCTTCCAAAGTGCATAGGGGAGACTTATTTTCACAGAGATCTTAAACTGCAGAAAGACAAATTGGGGAATCAGATTCCATTAACCTCGGGGGGGGGGGCGCTCCACAAATAAAGGAATTTAATTGTCCCAAAGGTGCTTTTTTTTCAAGAGGCAACTGGACTTTCTGTTTTTCTTTGAAGACATTTTGGTTCTCCTCCAAGAAGCTTCTTCAGAAAGCCAAAGAAGCTTCTTGGATGAGAAGTGAGAAGCAAAACGTCTTCAAAGAAAAAACAGAAAGTCCAGTTGCCTCTTGGAAAAAAAAGCACCTTTGGGACAACCATGACCTGGAGGGCGGAGAATCTCCATAGACAAAGGAATTTAATGAACAAGCTGAGTTCCGGACAGGTCAATACCAGAGAAGAGTTCTGATAGATGATATTAAACTGGTTTTGCACAATGTTTTACTCCATTCACAAATGCAAATTCAATGTAAATAATGGCAATGGCGATAGAGGGATTCACAGAGATTTATATCCCAGTTCACGACTCCTATTATTTACATGATGCAGTTAAAAGTGATAAGAACTTGTCAACATATTTGGGGGGGGGGACTGAATCTGGAAGCTCCCACCTCTTCTGAGCAGTGCATTTGCAACTGAGGATCTAACCGGTAATCCAGAGCAGATTCCTCAATGATCACTCGAATCTGATCTTCGCAGTCTGAAGAAAGACGCTGTACAGAAACAAGAACAAGAATTGTCGTCACGCTGGAGAAGACCCAAGACTGATATCACTCTCGACATCTGACTTGCTGTGCAGCTGAATGGAGATTAAAAACTGCCCAATTTATTGTCATCTAGCCTTGCAAAATGAAAATTATCTCCTGATTGTTTACAAGCAGTTGTAAACAGTTGTAACAGTTGTAAAGCAAAACACAATACTTATTTTGTTCAAAAGCAAACTATCTTCATGGCAGTCGGTGAGATGGCTGGACCTGCCTTTTCACTTCTGCTCCCCCCTCCCTTTTTGTTTTGCTGGTTTCTGTAAAGCCACAATTGCAGCCCTGTTTTGCCTTTTCAGCAAAAGGAAAAGGAGGATGGGTGTCCAATCCTATATCCAAACCAACAAATGGCAATTGCTGATGTCTTTTCAGGATTGCAGAAAAACAGAACTCCAGCTAACCCCTCAGGTAAAGCCCTTGAAACCCACAGCCATTGTTGGTTCCCAGACGAGACAGCTGGAGTACACAAATTCACGCAGCTTGGAAGCCTGATTCATGATCCAGACCAGTAATCCCCATCAACATTTGGACAAACTGCTTCCATATCAAGTCTCTAGCTCAGAGGCCAAGCTACCATCTTTCCCCAAAAATAAGACCTGGTCTTATAATTTTTTTCCACCGAAAAAGGCACCAGGTCTTATTTTCAGGGGAAGTGGTCCCACTGACTCACCTCACTTGTGTGTGTTGCCCCCAGCCTCCTTTTCACTCTCAGAGGCCTTCAGTAACTTCTTCTGCAGCCTGCAAGACTTTCCTGAAGGCTTCTGCAGCTGATAACAAAGCTCCAGATCAATCAATCTGGCCGCAGAAGAAATAGGCTGGCAAGGCAGGTGTTTGGGGGGGGGGGGGGGGGGAGGCGTGGCTGCGACTGTCCAAAGGTAAGTAGTAGGGCAACTCCACCACCCCCATTCCCACCCTAGCTTAATTTTTACCTGGGCACCCTGGAGTGGGTGAGGTCTTAATCAGGGCATATTTGGGGGATAGGGCTTATACTGGACGCACGTGTAAAAATCAAGCTAGGACTTACTTTTGGGGTATTATTTTTGGGGAAACATGGTAGCAGGTCAGTGAAAGTGGAAGGCACATCAGCCTCTTTCTACGTGCCCAGTGGGTTTCCATTCTCCAAAATTCTTAACAATGGCCAAACTGGCAAGGAATTGCAGAAGTCAGCTCACACCTCTGGCAGGTAGGCTGACAGGAGAACCCTGTGGCCTTCAAAACCCTACCAAGGATGCAAGATTGACGCAGGCTTTCTTTAAGACATTTTAATGCCGGGAATTAGAAGATCGGAACCTGCCAGCTTAAGTGAGCGCGTTAAAGCAGGTCTCCTCCCTGATCTTCCTTTCCTGCCATGCTTGTGTGACAGCCTAAGAGTCTCTTTCATTGATAAGCTTGTAATGGGATCCCACTTTGGGTTGAGGCAGACTTCGCTTTCTTTTTCTCTCTCAACCTCTGCACGGTTTCTACAGAAGCGGAAAGGAAGCTCCGTGGATTGTTCTGGCCAATGCAGGGGACCTCATTACCTGGTCTGCGTATTTCAGTTTCAGGCAGGAGATGACCTGCCCTTCCAGCTCTGACTCCTCCTTGGCTTTACTCAGAATGCTCTGGCAGAATTTGGGGATGTCTGCTTTGCATGCTTTCCTGAGCACTGGATTCAGGCGGTAATCTGCCAGAGAGAAAAAGGTTCAATCAGGCTTAAAAGATTCGCAGGGGAGGCATTTCTGCAGAGCTGTACTGGGTTTACAAAGCAGCCTACAAGTGGAGTTGCATCTGAATGCTCTCTAACGGAGCAAATTACAAAGGCGTTACCTGAAAGGAAGGTCTGGAATACAATTCCTAAACACTTAGAGACTTCGTTTTTTCAGCAGCAAATGTGCAGATTATGACTAGCAAAGAAAAAAATAGCTTCACTGAACTGAAATGATTGCTGGGATCTCAAAAGGCAGAGGTAATGGTTGAACTACTCTTTGTCTGGTTAAACGAGAATTCAAAATTACCATGATTTTATGTTGACCAAGATAGGCTAAACCCCAAGTCTTTTCTAGTTCAATTTTTTTTCCATTGTGGGTTTTTTTTTTTAATGGAAGGGGAAGATTCCCCATTCAGTACAATCCAAGGCAAAAATGAAATAAAAGGATTTATTTTAAGCAAAGAGCAGCTCTCACAGTTTCAGCCAGTTCCAAGAGAAAGTTGTTTTGGCTACCTAATGCAGAATTCAGCAATCTCTCTCTCACTCTTCCTCCCTCCCTTCCTCCTTTCTCCTCCTCTCTCTCTCTCTCTCTTTCTCTCTCTCCTTTTTTGTGGTTGCATGTTCAGTTTTTACTGAATCCATATCTTTGTCTATGCCAAAGTCCCTCCCAGCCATGCTAGCTCAGATTGTTTCAACCAGCCAAAGTCCAAATTAGGGGCTTTCCATATGCCAGGTAAATTCTTCTCTGAGCTCCAACATTTCTACTTTGGGTCAAATATATTTAGTAAGTTGCAACCAAGTGCTTTCTGTAGATTTGATGATTACATTTCAGTTCACTTTGAAATGACAAAATGCTCTGCATGGAGAAGATAGGTCGGTGACCCTCAGAGGAAAATTTTACTAGGCCTAGGATAGATTTGAGCAGACATAAAAGGCACACTCTGCAGAAAAACAAGCATCACATTCTGCTCAGACAAGTTGTGTGGGTGATTTGAAATGCAGAGAGGTGGCTAGAAATCAGAGTGCTCAGTGCTGCACAATAAAAGCAAGCAACAAGCACAAATAATACACTCCAGAAAAAGAAAGCAGAGGAGCCATGTGCAAGGAGCATGGTGAAAGGAAAGGGCGGAGTCCTTTTGTAGGTTTTCAATTTACTTCAAAGCCCCGGACACAAGCAGAAACAGAATTCACCCACAAATGAAGGCAGGCTGTCCTGTTCTGGCTCCACACGGCCACAGAGCATTACCTGTGTTCTGGGTAATCTGGCGCTTTGTGATCATTTGCTTGCATTTGGGATCCATCACCTCGCTGTTTTTGTTCTGCTTCAAGCACTGCAGCATGTTCTTTGCGTCTGCTTCAGGGCAGAACCTCTGCCAAGGGAGACAGGGAAACAACAACTCAGCCAAGGAGAAACTTCTCCTATGCTTGAACATCTCCTCCAAGTAGGAAACAGTGCAGGAAGGCAAAGCTTGGAGACTCATCCTTCCTCCAAGACCCAGACTCAAGACATGGAGCCCTGGATTGCCTCAAAACGCCTGCCCCGTTGGTGTTCTCCTCAAGTACTGTATTTTTCAGAGTATAAGACTCTCCGGAGTATAAGATGCACCTTAGATTTTGGGGAGGAAAATAAGAAAAAAATAACATTCTGCCTCTGACTACCAGGTATTCCTCTGGCTAGGGTCCTTAGTTTGGTCAGAATATTAGTTCGCTGGTTGTAAGCGTGTGCGTGCATTGGAGCAGATTCGTAGCTTCAAAAGCACAGCTGATTGTTGCAGGGAGTTCCAGTGAGTAAAGCAAGTGAAGCGCAGAAAGTGGTACGACAAGGTAGCAGCTGTTCCGAATTGCCATTTTGGGCTCCGCGTCTCACCTTTTCAGCCTCTGAACTCTCCATTTGAGACCTGTTCAAGGCTGCGGGGATCGCCAAAGCAAATCGCCACCGATTGCCACCCAAAAAGGTGATGCGCAGAGGCCAAACAAGTGATGCGCAGAGGCAATATTGATTGAGGGCAATAAAGGGATTGTCCTGTTTAGAGAACTGGATTCTTTTTTCTCACAAACCAACCCTACCACAGCTCACAATCCATACACAGAGGAAGTGAGGGATGAGGACATCAAACATTCTGAGTCTTCCATGCCCATCCCATAACACTCCCCACTCCTTCCAGGAGCTATAGTGGCGCCCTAGTTAGAATGTAATATTGCAGGCTGACTCTGCCAACTACCAAGAGTTCAATCCATCTCAAGGTTGACTCAGACTTTCGTCCTTCTGAGATAGATTGTTGGGGGCAACAGGCTGACTCTGTAAACCGCTGCAAAGCACCGTGAAGCGGTATATAAATCTTAAGTGCTATTGCTATTCTTTCCCACATGAAGCGATATATAAATCTAAGTGCTATTCTTATTCTTTCCCACATGAAGCGGTATATAAGTCTTAAGTGCTATTGCTATTCTTTCCCACATGAAGCGGTATATAAGTCTTAGGTGTTATTGCTATTCTTTCCCACATGAAGCCATATATAACTCTTAAGTGCTATTGCTATTCTTTCCCACATGAAGCCATATATAAGTCTTAGGTGCTATTGCTATTCTTTCCCACATGAAACGATATATAAGTCTTAAGTGCTATTGCTATTGCTCCTGCTGTTTACTTTG